TTCCTGGAAAAAATCAGAAAGGGAGGTGCGGGTGGTGTTGCTGAGTTCACTGAGACAAAACAGAGGTCTGCAGCTTTTCAGGACCTTGGACTGGTGTTCCCCCCCGTCCCTTGCTTCCTGGGGCAGTGAGTGAGCCTGCAGCGCCCCGGGAATAAGCAGGCACTACAGCAAAGCCCAGGATCACAGGGGTGAGGTGAGAGTTTGAGACATTCTTTTGCTCAAGGAAAGGAACAGTGGATTTGGGCCTCGTCTGTCAATCCCGTGATCCCCACCTGCACAAAGGCTGATGCCTGTACTGCTGGGCCTGATTTGGCAAGGATTTCATACCCAAATGGAAAGACACTTCTATTGGAATAGGAGTTGTTGGGGTTTTTTTAATATGTTTTTATTGATTTTTTTTTTTTTTTTTTTGAGGGAGAGATAAGAAGATCGATGAGAGAGAAACATCAATTGGCTGCCTCCCGCACACCCTCTACTGGGGATCCAGCCTGAAACCCGGGCATGTACCCCGACCGGGGAATCGAACCAGGGACCTCTTGGTGCATGGGTTTATGCTCAGCCACAGAGCCACACCAGCCGGGGAGCCGTTCTTCAGGCAGGGTGCCACCAATAGGCCACGTTTTGCAGACGGCCTTGGCCTCAGCACAGCTCCCTAAAATGCCTGGCGGCCTGCATCTGCCCCTACAGATCTCGGAGGGAGTGTATGAAGGATTCCTCAAGACCCTGATCGAGTTTGCCTCCCAGCATGTCTACCACTGTGACCTGTGCACCCAGCGTGGCTTCATCTGCCAGATCTGCCACCACCATGACATCATCTTCCCCTTCGAGTTTGACACCACCGTCAGGTATGCAGGACACCCAGCCAGATGCCCCACCCCTCCCCTTCCCCCAGCATTTCAGGGTGGCGTGGCAGACCTGGGTCCTTGGGTGGGAACACACTTAACATCCCCTCTGCGCTAGTGCCTCGGGCTAGTGAGGTTGTGTAGAGCAGCGGATGCCCTGGGCAGTCATGGTCAGCCCCAGTCCTGCTCAGGGGACAGCACAAGCCCTCAGAGAATGCTATTGGCTCTCTTCCGGGGTCTCAGTTTTGTCATCTATGAATGGGTTGAGGAGGGACTGAATGAGTTATTGCCCTGGAGTGTTGGACAAGGCCCAGCACAAAATGGGCAACTGGTGGGTGACCTTCTGCCCCTGTCATGGTCATTCTTATTCCCAGTTATCACTCGCTCATTATCAGAAGCCTCTAAATGGACAAATTCACCCACCAAACCTTTCTTCCAACCCATGTGGGAGTGGAAATCTGAGCTGGTGGGAGCATTCATTCATTTTCAGTAGGTGTTCCCTGGCCCAGACTCAGCCCCTGAACAGACCTGGGCTGAGTGTTTCCAACTGCAGAGTATCTTAACCACAGGCAAGCAGTCATTAGTGAGTCTCAGCAGCATTTATAAAAAATGAAATAGAGGGTCAGCAGGCATCACATGACCTTGGGTACGCATCGCTGCAAGAATCTCTTCTCCCTGGATGGAGAAGTGGTGCCTGTGGGCCGGGGGTTGTGGGTGGAACACAGCCCGACTGTGGGCTCTGGTCAGGAACACTGGCCAGCCTCAGGCCCCAGGGGAGGCCTCCGCCCATTTGCACAAGTAGCCCTTGCCTCTTTCTCCCAGGTGTGGCGAATGCAAGACCGTCTTCCACCAGAGCTGCCAGGCCGTGGTGAAGGGCTGCCCCCGCTGTGCCCGCCGGCGCAAGTACCACGAACAGAACTCTCTCACCTAACCCAGTCTCCTGACCCCCCTCAAAGGCCTCGGGGTGAGGGTTCCGCTCAGCCATGCAGCTGGGTTTGCCATCAGCCCCGGCCACTCTCTCAAGGTGTCACAGCTGTCTCCCTTGTCAGGAAGACTCAGATGTGACTAGAGCATGAGCCTACCAGAGGGCTTAATGACTGATGGCCCGTCGTCCCTCCCCCCTCCCCCCCATCTGCTCCAGGAGGTGGGGCACCAGCAGACGCCCCCTGTCCGGGGTGCTGGGGGTGGGGGGACTTTGCACTAATCAGGCTCCAGCTCATCTCACTGACATGACACCCCCATCAGGGCTGTTCACACACTGTGGAAATAAGACTTGGGGCGCATTTACAAATCCACATGCCTGATTAAAAGGTCTAGTTTTTTAAGGTGGGTTTTCCCCCTTCCTATTTCAATAGAAAATATTTTTTTATTCTTAACCCTATACAAATCACCCAAGAAATCCAGGCATTCTCACCATGAGCGAATGTGCAGGTATTGCCCAGGCCTGGTCTGCAGACAGGCGGGCGGCTGGGCATCCCTGTGCCAGAGCCCGTCAGCTGCCTCTCCTTCACCCTCCCCAGACACTTGCTGCCAACAGCTCAAGTGCAATGTGCCAAACAGCCCATGGGACCAGGCGGGTCGGTCCTGATGCCACCTTCTTCCTCTCCCTCTCTCCTCCCTGTCCCATGCCCCCCACCTGAAAAGCCCATCTTTCTCTGTGTCAGAGCCCCTTGTCTCTTCTGTAGCCAGGATTCTGGTCCCTGCACGAGAAGGGTAATGACTTCAACCCAGCACTGTCAGCACTTTGCATCTTCCTTGGGCCAGGGACCGGCCCACCCCTCAGCCCCGTGCCCTCCCCACTCCTACCCTACACTGGGACACTCTCAGGGGTCCCACCCCTGCCTGCCTGACCCCTGCTGGGACAGAGGTAGTCTGGGCTCACAGAGAGGGCAGTGAGCCCAGGCCGGGGGCCAGCCTTGGCACACACTGTGGAACAGTGACCCGTCCTTCACGAAGCGTGCCAGCCCCGCTGCTGAGATGTGCGGGGGCCAGCGGGGGAAGGGCCACGGAAGGGCTTCGCCTCCGTTCACAAAGCCATGCATTCACACAGCTTTGCCAGACTGGCCCGGGAAGGGCGCCGCTGGAGACTGGGAAATGTCATTGAAACACCATTGCCATTTGAAGGAGTGTTGGAATTGTTTTCAAATGATATTTAGACCCTTGGGGCTTGGGGGAATCTGCTGCATCCCTCCCTCCTCTCCTGAATCCAGCAAGCCCCCCTCCACCCTGGGGCCCTCTGGTCATCTCTGCACTCAGCTTGAGATTGGGGGCCTCATGTGAAGGCCCACCTGTCCTGCCAGGAGATGAGCTTACTGCCACTTCTCCCTTGGGGTGATTTGGCTGCTGAGTCACCTGTCTAGCCCTGTGGAGCTGGATAAATTGTGCAATAGAACAGAGGAGGTGCTAGGCAGGTGGGGGAGGGGCTGCCACACAGCCTCTCTGTCCCTTCTTGTAAGATGGTGCACACCTGTGCCCAGCACACCAAAGCCTCCAGAAGCAGAAATGGATCCTTATCCTCATCCCACCCCTCAGAGCATTTATGCCAGCACAGCCTGGTCAGAGCACCGACTGCCCCAGATCCCTGAGTGGGCAGGAGCCCAGCCTGGGTGCGCAGTGTGGCCCTGGCTGGGCCTGTATGTTCTGTATTCCACGAGGTGCCCTAGAAGGGGGCAGGAGTGAGACCTTGGAGGCGCCTATTTCAGTCCGCTTCACCCCCGTGCTCCCAGAGATTAGAAGCATTAAATCTGACGCTCCCCCATCCCCAAAAGCTGCTGATGCTTTCAGATGAGCTGAGTTGCACCTCCTCACCTCCGACTGAAAGCTGATGTGAACCCCAGTGGTGGCCACACTATTTTTAAAGTGTCACTGGATGCAATAAACTTTGCAGTACGGGGCCCTGGTGCTTGGCGATGTACTGAAGGAACTGCTGCTGTGTGTTGTTTGAATGATTTTGCAGTAAAGACCTGATCTTTCTAATCTCTGGTCTGGCTTCTGAATCCTCACGCTGTGGCTGATTGGGGGAAACCCTGGGCCATCCATTGCCAGTCTGATTGGGCCTCCACTCTCCTGTTAGTCCCTAGGCACCGGAGAGGAGAGGATGGGGGAGTGGTAAACATTTGCAAGCAGGAGACTTGTGTGCCAGCAGTGGGCATGGAGGAGAGGGCAGTCACAGGTTCAGTATGTACCCCACCCTTGGAGTCTGAGGAGGCAGGGCCCCCATGGGGTTGGATTTCAGGGAGGTTTATTCCTATGCAACAACTGAAGCCGATGCCTGAAATCCCACCACCATGGCTTCTTTCCTGTGCCTTCCATGCCAAAGCACAGACCCCTGACCCTGGAATGTGTGAAATCTCAGGCCTACATTTCCCACTGGATTGAGCGAAGGGGCTAGGAAGGACAGGCTGGGCAGGGCCCTGATTCTGCCCTCATGGTTTGAGGGCTCACATGGGCTTTTATTTGTCTGTAGACCTTTCTCGGAAGGTCCAGGGGGCCCCTGCAGGGGGAAGCCCACCACTGCCCACTGTACGGACAGAAGAAGGAAACGCTAATTTGCAGGGAAATCAGGTTGCAAGGAAATGGGACTGGAAAAGATGACATTTAGGTCTGCAGTTTCCTGTCCTTTCAGCCCATGAGGGAGCACCTACTGCCCATCCCATGAGCCCAGCTTCTGCAAGCTCACCTCCCCCCAGGGGCAGTAGGTGGGGGTGGGCTCCAGGGAGACAGGAAGAACCTGGTTTGAGGGCTGGGGGGGGGGGGGGGCAGGCCCACCTGGGGCAAGAGGACCAGGGGCAAGTGACCTGCCCTGCCTTTGGACTCAGCACCTTTGTCCTCTGCAAAGTGCCTCTGAGGACTCTTGCCCCCCACACCCACCACCACCATCTAGAGGAGGATGGGAGACTTGGAGACCTCATTCCAAACCCAAAGAGGCTCCTCTCGTTATAAAAGTAGTGTTAGGCCTGGCCAGCGTGGCTCAGTGGTTGAGCATGGACATAGGTCACGGTTCTATTCCCAGTCAGGGCACATGCCTGTGTTGCAGGCTCAATCCCCAGTAGGGGGCCCGCAGGAGTCAGCTGATCATGATTCTCTCTCATCCTTGATGTTTCTGTCTCTCCCTCTCCCTTCCTCTCTGAAATCAATAAAAATGTATCTTTCTAAAAGTAGCATGAATCACAGCTAATATGCTGTGTGTTTTATAATGATAATGTGATCATAACATCGTCCTTAGTGCATCTCATTTAATCTTCTCAACAATCCTGTGAAGTAGGTGTTCTGTCCCCAGCTCACCGGAAGCAGCTGCAGAGATAAGGTGAGGAGGATGAGTCCGGCCCCAGGAAGTTGCTCTGATCTTACCCTGGAGACATCGGAGGGGCGCCCTCCTCCCCAACCAGGATTCAGGAGAAGATGAGAACCAAGTCGTTGGGAGGGAAATTCAGCCAGAAGTAGGTGAGGAGACCCGACCCCCTCGTCCTCCTGTCCTGGTCCTGCTGCCTCCACCTCCCGGGAGCAGCCAGGTGTGGCCCCGGGTCCCGGGAAGCGCCGGGGGAGGGGTGGCGCCTCTGTTCCCAAGGCGCTGGCTCGCCCAGAGGGGACAGGAAGCCAGGACACCGGGGATTGTCTCTCGCCGCCGCAGCCCTGCCCCAGCCCGGGAGGAAGTTCTGCCTGGTGCGCTCGGCTGGTGCCTCCCTCGCTATATTGTTGAACAGGAAACCCGGCAGCGCGGGAGCTGGGCGGTGGAGGAGAGCGAGCGCCGGACGCCGAGCCCACGCGCTCTCTGCCGGGACAAGCGGAGGCCAGGCTAGCGAGTGGACACCCCGAGGTGCTAAGGCCGGGCCAGACTGGGCGGGGGTGCTGAGCCGCGGGTGGGGGGTGAGGGGTGGGGGGTCGGGTGCCGCAGGTGCGGGTCCTCGCCCGGGAGCGCCGCGCGCCGGCTCCTCTTCCAATCGCGTAGGGACTGGAGCTGCAAGGGGCCCGGGAGGATGCCGCGCGGGACGGTCCCCTCCCAGCGGAGGACGAGGGGTGGGGGGTGGGGAGAAGGGCGCCCTCCGTCCGGGGATAGGAGGGGCCCAGGTCCAGGGCCCCAGCGCCGACCGGGGCGTTGGCGCCGCTGTGATTCCCGTCCCAGGGCACCTCCTGGCGACCGGTCCGTCCTCTTGCTCCAGGGATCCTCCCCGCTCCCCGCTCCCCGCATTCCTCCCTTCCTCTTCGCTCCCCCAAGGGCAAGGAGCCGAGGCCCGGGTGCCATCCTCACCATCCCAGGACCTGCGCTCCGGTGGGCGGCCCTGTGCACACCGGCTCCGAGTGTTCCGGGCCCAGCCGAGCCGCCCGGGAAAGGGTCGGGAAGGGCGGGGCCAGAGCGCGCAGTGCCCGCGACCCGGCTGCAAAGGCTCGTAGCTGGCGATTCGAGTGCAAGTGGCCTGGCTCGGGTTGAGAGTGCCCGGGCAAACAACAAGCCAGGGTCCAGCAGACCCTGGGACGCAGAGGCCCGTGGTCAGCAGATCCCGGGCATGGGGGGCGGGGGGGGGGGGCAGGGGCGGGACTCTACCTTCCAGAGGCTCTGCTTGCGACCCGCCAGCGCCCCCCCCCCCCCGTCACTCGCAGCGGGGTTCCGAACAGGGACGCCCACAGCCCCCACCCCACCCCACCCCCTGTCCCTACCTCATGGTTTCTCCTGCCCCGGGACCAGCTTCCAATGTCTTCGCGGGCCGTCAGGCTCCCCCTCGCCCCCTCCCAAAGCTGCTTTGGGGGTTGGGGACAGCCCGCCAGAGCGTCCCTCTCCCTTTCTGTCCCCCTTGCCAGCTCCTGCTTCCAGAAATCTCTCCAGCCTAGCCCTTGAGTCCCGGCCCGACGAGATGGCAGGCGCCTAACCTGCACCCATCGCAGGCGCAGCCCATCCAGCCCATGGGCTCCCGAGGACCCGCCCTGCCAACGTGAGTGCGCCGCGAAGGCCGGGGAAGGTGGGGAGAAGGGCGTCCCCCCGGGGGCTGTCGGCTTAGCTCCCGGCAGCGCGCGGATCCCGCCTCCCAGGCCCAGAGTAGAGTGACTCAGTTTCCCCATCGAGGAAAGCTTGACAAGGTCAAGAAGGAGCGTTACGCGCCCCTCCCTCCGCGGGACCCTGTCCCCGGCCCCTCCGCCTCCGCTAGCAGCCGAGCTCCCACGGCGGGTCCCCGGCCACCTTTTGGGGCAGGAGGTGTGGTCAGTGTAAAGGCTGGGAGGAAGCAGCCACCTCCGAAGGAGGCCGCCGACTCGGGCTGTGATGGAGGGACGCAGGCAGACGCGGGGTTAGGCTCCGAAGCCAGGCCGAGCGGCACGGAGAGGCTGGGGCTGTGCGCTCGCTCCGGGACCCCCGGAGACAAGGCGCATTCTCTCGCGGCCACTGTCAGGCGGCGACGTAGAGATCCCGGGGCAGGTAGAGCGGCGCCAGGGCCCACCCCTTCTCGGGGCGGGAGGGGGAGCCGGAGAGCAGAGGCGGCGAGGGCCGGTTTGGGCGGGCCAGGCTCCGGGCTCACATCTGCGGCAAAGCCGCTGGGGAAGAAAAGAAAAACCGAGAGAACCGGTTTCCCGGCCTCGGGAGTCCGGCCCCTGGTGCCAGGGCTCCTGAACTAAGTGAAGCAGGGACACCCCGTGGTTGCGCGGCCCGGGGCCAGGAACGGGCGCTGTGGGCTCGCATTCTTTCAGCGCTGGAGGCGGTCGGGTGGGACGGGAAGTAGGGAATGGGTTGTTCTTCCCACTTCACAGAAGGGGAAACTGAGGCCCACTCAACTGTTAGGCAAATTGTGGTGTCGACTTGATCTCGGGCAACCACCCTCTGTCAGCAATTTTCAACCCGTGTGCTGCAGCACACTGAGGTGCCAGAAGAATTTTTTAAAGATGCAACATCTGACTAGTCAAAGGCACCCACCTCTTCTCCCTTGGATTGTCAAATAAAAAAAATGACAACAGCCAACACAATAGCCGTCGGTTGTGAATAAATCAAAATTACACTTTTTCCAGATTTTGGTGTGCCACAGAAGTTTAGTTATTAGTTTATGTGTGTTATGAGATGCAAAAGGTTGAAAATCGCCCCCCCCCGTGTGTGTGTGTGTGTGTGTGTGTGTGTGTGTGTGTGCTGTTTGTTTGTTTTGCCCTGTCTCTTTGAACCAAGACTTTCCTGGCTGTAAAGTTGAACCAGTATTACCCACAATCCTCCACCAAGGGATTGGATGAAAGGGTTGCCGTAATCCCATCCCTGGGTGTAGGAATGAGAATTTAAGAGATTATGTTATACAAGTCTCCCATTTTAGAGATAGGAAAACTGAGGCCAGAATGCACACGAGGAGCGTAGCACTAGTGCGGTTGCCTCGCGTCTCCGTGGCTCTGACCTCCGCGCCCCTCCTCCTTGCTGTCCACAGGGAAAGGCCGCGGCCACGATGGCGGCGGACGTCGAGGGGGATGTGTATGTGCTGGTGGAGCACCCTTTCCAGTACACTGGCAAGGACGGCTGCCAAGTCGCCATCCAGCCCAACGAGCGCTATCGGCTGCTGCGACGCAGCACCGAGCACTGGTGGCACGTGCGGAGCGAGCCGGACGGACGCCCCTTCTACCTGCCCGCGCAGTATGTGCGCGAGCTGCCAGCCATCGGGGACCCGGCCGCCGCCCCGCAGCCGCCGCCTTCGCCCCAGCGCGGCCCCGCAGTCCCGGAACCGCTTACCTACGACTACCGCTTCGTGCGCGCACCGGTGCCCGCGGGCCCCGATGGCGTGCCCGCCGAGCCCCGCGGCCGGGTGGGCTCTCTATGCGGCCCCGCGCTGCGCGGCGCCCGGGCTCATCGCAGCAGCCTGACCCCGGGCCAGCCCGCCTGCCTGTACGCGCGGCCCGCGGCGCGGGTGAGGCCTGCACAGTCCCTGGACGACCTGGCGCGCACCGCCGCGCCGCCTGCGGTCCTCCTCGGGAGCGCGGGCAGCTTCAAGGCCTGCAGCGTGGCGGGCTCCTGGGTGTGCCCGCGGCCCCTGGCGCGCAGCGACTCCGAGAACACGTACGAGACCATCGAGGACGTGCGCGGACCGCCGCGGGAGGAGCGCCCGGAGCAGGTATGTTGCGGGGAGCGGAGGCGGGACGGGGGGCTGCACCCGCCGAGGAGACTCACTTGACTTAGCGTCGCGCTCCGCAGGGAGCAGCGGTGTTCGCCGGCTTTGGACGAGCTCCCTCACCGAGCCTCGCTTTCCTCTGCCATGAAACAAGGGGCACTGGCACACATCTCTTATCTGCCAAAATGCCAGAGCTTCCTGGAACCCAAAGGTTTTTCGTACAAAAAATTTATGGCAAAATTTGTCTTGAACCCATGTGAGGCCGTTGGTGGTCTTTATTCATCACATTTAATGTGAATATTCAGGTTGTGCTACCGATGAATGAACTTGATTACAGGGTGCTGGCCCAGGCCTCGCGGGGAGCGTTGCACCACCCATGGCATCAGGTGTGTGCGCCGCATCATCATTCTGAAATCGAACCACTCAGAAGCGCATCGGGCATGAAATAGGGGGTTGTGGACCTGCGCCGGCTCTTTCTCACAGGAGCTTGGGGTGGGGGTGGGGGGTGTCAGACGAGATAATGGATATGACAGTCAGGAGGCTGCTTCCCTTTTTGGCTGCTTCCAGCATTTCAGTTCCCTCTTTAAAAAAAAAAAGAAGAAGCAGCTTGATGGGTTTGTTTCAGAAAGAAGTCCAGTCATAGTGGCTTTTTCTTTCTTTTTCGCTTCAGATTCTAGTTATGTTAATTTGGGAAATCGAAAACAGAGCACGTTTTAAAAACTCTTACATCCTCAGAAATCTGCCCACGGCATGACTTCTTGAACTTAGGAACTTTTCAGGAAGGGGAATGGAGGGGGATGCACAGACATCTGTCACCAGCTGTGTAATGATGGTCAATTCGCTTCCTCTGGGGGTCTCAGTTTGTCCTTTAGCCCAAAGAGGGGCGGGTGGGGGGTGGGGGTGGGGAATGGCTGCATGACCCTTGAAATTTAGGAGGCTGTAGTTTCTTTGTAGTCGATGTCATTTCAATAAACATTGATCCCTGCCAAGTCCCAGGACCGAGTCTGGGATGCCCAGAGGAAGGAGGCACCGTCCGCATAAGCAAGCTCCTGGGTACTTCTTCCACCCCATGTGGTTATAGCGCAAAGAGCTCGGGATTTGAGACTACAGAGACCCGAATTTGGTTCTGCTGAGTCACCGGCCCCTGAGTCACCCTCCAGCCCCAGTGTTCCCGTGTGTAAATGTACAACAATACCTAAGGATTCAGGTTGTTGACAGCTTTCAACCAGGTGAGCTTGGGCCCGCGGGGCCCGTAGCAGGCAGTCCACCGAAGACTGGCTGTGGTCCCACTTGGTATCCTTTCCTCTGCTCTGCGCCGCCCACGCTCCGGTTTCTGCAGGGGGCAGCCCGCCCCCTTGTGGCCAGCGTGCAGAACAGCATCCAGCGGGTGGGGAATGGACCCTGCCCGCTGGGGGAGGCAGGGGGGTAAGGTGGGGAGCGGAGGGATCCTGTGCCCGGCGCCCGGCCTGCCTGCCAGACGGTTTCTTTGGGATAGACGGCTGGATGCCAGCGCTTCTTCTCCCGGCGCCCCTCCGTTTCCTGGGCAGACTCCTAGCGGCGCACTCCTGAGCCTCAGCACTCTCCGTCCTGGTGATAGTGGGGTGTCTGTCTGTCCCTCTGAGGGGTGCCCCTGAGGTGGAGGACTGCCTTGCCCTCTGCACCCCCGCGCCCCGCACAGAGCCTGGCCCAGAGTGTGTGCAGGGTATGGACTAGGGACGAGGAGTCACTTTTCCCATGAGCCCAGGCGCTCAGGTCTGCCCAGGGACACCACCCCAGAGCTCTGGACCAGGGCGGAAGGTGAGGGTTGGGGTGGGGGGGAAGACCCTATATTCGGGTTCCTCCTGAGAAATTCCCCGGCATCCACAGTCACTGCGGAGTGGCACCTTTGCCCCTCCGCCCCCAGGCTCCCTGCAGTGGCAGTGGTACATTGGAGAGAGTGGTGGTGCCTCCTGGGGAGGAGCTGGGCACCTGCCAGAGACCTGGTGATTGGAAGAGACTGCCCGGTCCCACTGCTGGCCCTAATCCACTGCGTGAGCTCAGGAGGTGGCTGAGCATCTCTGGTTCTGTTTCCTCCTGTGTGATGGGTGTAAACCACGCTCTCTGTGACCCTGCTTTCCTCCAGTGTCGGCTGTGGGTCTCCCCGACACCCCATTCCCCACCCACTCCAGGGGTGGGGCCTCGGTTCTCCCCAGAAAGGAAATGCCACTCCACTCTTAGCTGTGCGAGGCAGCATTTAGAGAAGGAATTTCCTGAAAGGTGAGCCGGCCTGTTTTCTTCTGGGAAGAGTCCGGAGAAGCAGGTGCTGCCCTTCCCTCCGTTTACTCACTCGCTAAGCATGCATGGACCCGACCTGCCAAACAGCGTGAGCCTTCAGATCCAAAGGTGACCGAGGCCCAGCCCGGGGCCAGCATCGGGGCCCAGCGTCGGGGGCAGGAGGATGTCAGGAGGGCACAGAGGCCCAGCCCAGCCTGGCACAGGGTGTCTGTGATCCAGCCACTCTCAGGTGCCGGGCAGAGGTGGAGGTGTGACATGTGGCACCGTTGGGGCCTTGCAGCCCCACCCCACCCTGTGCAGCTGGGCTCAGGAATGGGGGCTTGGGTGAGGGGTGGGGAGTGCCTGGCCCCGCAGGGCCCCCCGGGCTCTCACCGGGGAATGGGGGCTTTATCCTGCAGCCCTGGGAAGGCTCTCGGGAGAAAAGGGGGTGGGTTTGAGAAAAGACCCTGTGGCAGGACTTCGAGAATGGAGGAGGGCCTTCATGGTCTCCTGGACACTCCATGATGACAGGAGACTCGGGAGGTGGACTCAGCAGCCCATGGGCTGAGGGGTGTGTGAGGGAAAGCACAGTTGGCACGCAGGGAGTGTGAGGGGGTGATGGGGAGGGGAGGAGGAAAGGAATGAGGCTGAACCACTCTGGCCCCGCTGGGCTTGGCCGAGGAGGCAGTTGGCTTGGGGTGGTCTGCTGCCCCAGGAGAAGGTGCTCAGCATGTGATGTTGGAGCCATGGGTGTGGAGAGAGTGGGGACGTGGGGACAGGAGTGCT